GTCTCTGTGAATGTTATAAGGAGTTCAGTCTAGACCTGCTCTATTTGAAAAGTGTCCTGAGATAACTTAATAAATAATAATAATAATAATAATAATAATAATATAAATTGGCGCTATACAAATAAAACTGAATTGAATTGAATTTAATAAAATTATTTTTATTGTTTTGGTCACCTGTCCAATGTCCAATGAAGCGGAACTGCTGTCTCTGCTTTTAAGCAGTTTATTCTTATTAAGCAACCTTTTAGGTCCACTTCCTTTATGCTGTTCACAAAGTGCATCATTAGAAGGTAGGTCAGCCCAATTTATGTGAAATATTAAGGTTAAAATACCTTCTGCTCCCTGCAGTCTTTTAAGTGGACAGACTCCAAACTCCATTCTAAAAGCAGGTGTTTTATTGTAGCCATATTTTGAAATTACATACGTATTACATGTATGTGTATATATATAGTAATAACTTTAGTTACACCATCACTAAGACTCTTTTCTGATTTGCCTTGATCTACAGGCACAAGTGTTTGCCACAGATGTACACATATTTTCCAGGTCCCACAGTTTACCATTTTTATCCTGAAATCACAGATCTGTTATTTTACTGTCCTTCACTCTTTGGGGAAGTAAAGAACATCATAAACTGGGCTTTTTTTATTGTTTGATGTACAAAATGGATGCAGGAGCTTTTAGGCATGGTGCCTCTAGGCACTTTTACAAGACTTGTTTCACCCAAATAGGGGCTAGTCGTTCTGAAGATAGAAAAGTGACTGCATGCCTGCTTTAATCTATTACATGTGGTCAGGTTGGTTGTCAGGTAAATTTAAATAAGGTACATTTTCCTCATTCTGTTTATAGGAACATGAACCCAAGGTTTAGAAACTCTCTGAGTGTGTGGCTATGTGTATTACCCTACCGTCAGTTGCGAGGTCAGTCTCTCAATCTGTTCTTTTTGATGCTCAATCAGCTGTTGGGGAACAGAGGTAATATGTTAAGGGCTTTTTGACTTTGTGTATAATTGCATGCATTTGTGCATGTGTGTGTTTAGGATGCTACCATGCTGCTGTGGTCTTGCTGTTCTAGAAGTTGAGTGTTTTCCACCTCAAGCCGCTTCAGGTCCTGCATTGGCAACCTCACCCCATCGTCCAAACATTGCTGCACCTTTTTCTGCAGGCTTTAAGATAAGACATGTTGTCAAAAAGAAAGAGAGATGCAGAGAAAAAGAGACAAACAGACATGTACTTATACAGATCAAGATATAAGACCATGTTAGCAGCAGGCTGCCATCTAATGTAGAAGGAGTTTGTTCAGACTGAATGCAAAATAATTGTAGAAGCAGTGGAACTGAAGCACTTAATGCAAAAACTTATTCACAGTGGGCAGCACAAATTAAGGTTAACCTAATGACTTAAAAATGTGTCAACTTGAACAATTTTCTTATTCCAAGACTTTTTGACTTTTGACACCCATGGTGTAACTTCACCACTCAGTAACTCAGTCACAGAGTTTAATGGGCAGACCCTGTGGTTTGCAGCAGTCCAGCCAAATAGAGCTTACAGTATGTGCACACTGCATAAACATGGTTGGTGTGTAAATTGCTAACTGGCCAAGGCAAACACATACATTGGTTGTTTGAACAGAAAAAAACGTCAGCTTTTGTTAATCATACTAATTTGACTATTAGTATGATTAACAAAAGGTGACACAAAGTTTGATTTACCTTCAATCTAAATATTATATATATTAGATATTAGAGGATGCCGCACCTGTGTACAGATGCAATCAACTCTGTCTCTCTCTTTGCCTGCATCTCAATCTTGATGTTTTTCTCCTTCACCAGAGCACATCCTTCCTCCAGGCTCTTCTGTAACCGAGACATTGTTTTCTCCAGATCCTTGGCCTTCTGTTGTAACTCTTCCTGCTGAGGACACACGATGGCACATAGTGTTGTCACTAGAATTGAGCAATGTTTTGTTTATTTAACTGTTAATTGACAATGTGACCACTCAAAGCGCTTTTACACTACATGCCACATTCTTTCACACACATTTACACAGTGATGCACGGCATCAGGAGCAATTTAAGGTTCAGTATCTTGCTCACTGACACCTCGACATGTGGCACCAGGAGCCGAGGATCGAACCCACAATCTTCCGATTAGGGAAGGACCCGCTCTGCCTCTGCGCCACAGCCGCCCCCACATGCACAGTCATGGAGTTCCACAGGGTTCTGTGCTTGGACCAATTCTATTCACTTTATATATGCTTCCCTTAGGCAACATTATTAGGAAT